AGGTAAAAATGTCAAAATAGGGGTACAGCAGTCTTAATCACTATAAAAACAAACAAATGTAACGAAGAAGCACAAAAGGCATACATCAAATTTAACATCCTCATTTAGCTTATATTATACGATTTTATTTATCTATGTAAAATCCACCCATAAAGGATGGAAGGTTTTAAGTACTGGCGTAAAATCGCGCGTTTGAAATTCGCACAGGTAGACATAAAATAATTTTGTCGTTCAAAGTATGAAGAGATACATAAATACAGAGTCACGTAAAATGGATATCACAAAAAACAGACTTAACAGTAAAAGTAATATTAATAAATAAAATAATTTTGTCGTTCAAAGTATGACGGGATACATAAGCACAGAGTCACGTCAAATGGATATCTCAAAAAAACAGACTTAACAGTAAAAGTAATATTAATAAAGACAAATAAAAGAATACTATAACACGTTATTAAGATGATAAACAACGTCAGTACGCAAAATATATACTTCAAGACCATCGTGTATTATTTGTGATGTTGATACGGAATATTCATCAACAAGTTCTTGGTATCTTCCGATGAACTTTTTTAGAAAAAGGACAAGACGTTATTTGACATACCCGTGGTTCATCAACTTTCTCCTCAGACACTGGTGACGTTTTACAAAGTCTAAGTAGGAGCTGCAAGCTCTTGAATACCGAATAAGTTGGGAAATGTATATCCCATATGCTGGTGAAGTTGGTATTTTGCTACTTAGGTGGGGGAAATTGATAATTTCAAAATTAAAATCGTCTCGTTTATCATAGATTCTGGTACTGAGATGACTGTGTGTGTCAAATTCGAGGTATAGGTCTAAAAATGAGGCGGAGGGACCGTGTCTGTTGTTTCTTTAATTTCTAGTTCTGGTGGATATATTAATGGAACCCAATCAGAAAAGTTCGGATTGTTAATGGAAAGAACATCATCAATATATCTGAAAGTGAAATTAAATAACCTGGCTTCTTTGATCTTCTTGTTTTTGACAAGTGTCTGAAGGAACTCCGATTCATATGAAAATAAGAAGAGGTCGGCAAGGAGAGGCGCACAGATCGTTCCCATAGGAATGCCGACAATTTGTTGAAAAAGTCTACCTCCAAATTCAACAAATATGTTGTCAATAAGAAACTCCAGCATACTGATCACTTGTTCCTCTGTGTAGCATGTTTTACCCTTTTGTTCACTATTAACAAAATATGCCTTATGGTATCCCAAAGTAATAAATTTATAGCGTACGCTACCATTTTTATGATGAAAAGCATTGTGGATTATTTCTTTTAGACGGTTTTTCAATTTCACATAGGGAATGGTGGTATACAAGGTTGAAAAATCAAAAGTTTTGATAGATCTAATTTCAGAAAAAGACCGAGATTTAAAATTATCTAGAAGTTCTTAAGTGTTTTTAAGAGTGGTTAATACCACTACGCGAGTAAACAGTTTCGCAGTATTTCTGAAGACCCCCTTTCACTGCGGACAGAATTTTAGTCAATCTAATGGACAATTCTTTAGGTGAACATGCAGATGAGCCGGCAATGTACCGTTGTTTGTACGGAATTTTGTGAAGTTTAGGTATCCAATACAAACAAGGTAAGTTCTCCGATATGTTGTTCAATGCAATGTTCATTGAAGCCATGAAGGACTTATGATTCGCCAAAATCTCATCCTTGTCAAATGATATATTTCTGTATGTGGGATTACCTGAGTGCTCATTTATTTCTAATTCTTTTGCAAGACACTCGTAGTAATACGATTTACATAAAAAGACAATATTATTTGAAGCTTTGTCCGCAGGAACAACAACATACTTATCTTGAAGAGATGATAGACATTTCACAGCCTCTTTGTCTCTGAAAACGAACTTTGGTCGATCATTCACACAGTTTTTCAAGTTATGAATGCGACGTTTTATCAGAGACCTGATTGTTTTGACCCATTCTGACAAAGTGTCCAGTTGAACTTCTTCTCGTTTAGCCCATGCTCTGGCGTAGTCCTCAATGGAATCCATAATTATTTTGAAGTTATGGTTCAAATTGATGTGTTGGGGTTCTCTAAACTTAGGACCATGAGAAATCACCTTTTGGAGATTTTCATGTTGAATTATGTTTAGATCCCCAGTAATAACATGGCCAGAGGGAAGTAATTGTAAGGCGAGTGGGAACAGTCACATGTCAGAGCGTTTTTTAGGTATTGTTCTAAATCAAGGTCCTTCAATGCTTGTTTATAGTTAAACATTTTGGGTGCAATGGTTTTGGTGTAACTGTAGGATACAATAGGAACAGACTGATTTTGAAAATAAATAGGAATTTTAGATGTTACCTCCTTCTGATGTAGAACGTTGCTGATGTTGATTGCATCAATTCCTCTATTGGTAAAGTAAACAGGAAAGAATTTCCTCTTTTCCTCATGTAAAGGTTTTGATCTTACTGGTTTAAAAAGACAGAAAAGAGCTACATCACAAATTGGAGAAAAAGTATTTATGCATCTTTTGTCAAGTGCATAATCTCTCAAACATTTTAAAAAATTAACAGGCAGTGAAAAAAAAAAATAGTTCTAATGTAATGTAACCCTAGCGGATGTGAAGATGAGAAAGAAGGTCATCAAAGCTTCCAGAGGGCGATCTAGATTTGGAAGACTTTTTTACATTAGGCCGATGGTAACGTTTTTGCCCATGACTACGTTGGTTTCGTAAGGTAGTATTAAATAAACTCATTACATTAACATCACTGCAGGCTGGACTTGACAAATTTCCTACTCCTTTGACATTATCATTACAACCATATGGCATTGCAGTACCTAGTTCTCTTATCCAGAAATTTTCTCTATCTTTTCGGAAAGGAGTACTAAGTGCAGGGCTATTTCTGAGGTGATAAATTTTTTCTCGATGATGCGTACTTTCATAGATACAGAAGGATCATGGTCCGGTTGATTAAAATGGTTATAAAGAACCCTGAATTGCGGATCTTTATTATCAGACCGGTGTTGATGCATCCTTTTACGCAAAGTTTGTCGAGTTTCACCAACATAAAGTAGCCCACACAAAGTACATTCAATTCCGTACACGACATTGTCCGTGGAACAGTCCAGAGGCTCGAAAGATTTAGTATAATACGTTTTTCCTGTTAAATTACTGGTAAAATCAGGAGTCGTGATTAACAAATTATATGTCTTACACGTGCTTCGTTTTCCTTTTTTGTGTTTACAAGAAGAAATGATAGGTGCTGATTCACTTGTAGCAGGTGTATTCAAACAGTCGAAAATATTAACGCAACATGGCTTTAATTTATGAAAAGTATCTGAATTTTTAAGTAGTAATTACCTTTTGGCTGAACGTACGTCAAATCAGGGGTATCCCGGAGAAAATTCCGTGGAACACACAAATCAAATGCTACAGTGTTCCGTGCAACAAAACAGGATCTTAGTAACCCGGGCGACGTCCCAGCCGGTTTGTTCTTTGTATTATTTGTTTTCATCATGCATAAAGCTACCAAGTTAATGGTGCCCTCTGGGAATAATCCACCAGCAGTAAAGTTTCTTCTAGGAAGAAACTTGACATCGACTTGGTTGTAGTAAAAAGTAAAATCACAAAAATACTAAACTCCGAGGAAAATTCAGAAAGGAAAGTCCCCAATCAAATGGCAAAATCAAAAGTTCAAACACATCAAACGAATGGATAACAACTGTCGTATTCCTGACCTGGTACAGGCATTTTCTTATGTAGAAAATGTGGACTGAACCTGGTTTTAAAGCTAGCTAAACCTCTCACTTGTATGACAGTCGCATCAAATTCCATTATATTGACAACGATGTGTGAACAAAACAAACAAAAACAGTTGGTAAAAATGTCACAAATAGGGGTAAATAGTCTAATTTGGTAGGTCACATTCGTGAAAAGGGAACGGGATTGTAGTTACGACATAAGGAACATATCCGATATCATCTGTGAAACGGATATTCCATAACGGTCAACCAACTCGTGATGGCGTCCGTAAAATTTACAAAGTGATGATTTCAACTTCACCATTTGGAACTCTTGGTTTCAAAATGAAAATTCACAATTGGGAAGCTGAAATCATCTCTTTTGTCGTAAAGTTTTGTTTTCAACCGACCCCCATCCAATGCACATTAAACAAACTACATAGAAATCATTTAAAAAAAAAGAAATATTGTTTCCAAAACGTTCACAAGGTTTTACCTTATGAAGTATTGTGATTACCTTATCAAAGAATGATCGAACCGCATTAAATACTGAAACGAACACATCATGTATTGTAAAATCTTTAAATGTTGAAATATTATTATGTAATGTGAAAACCATTTAAAGAATTCACAAATAATCATTACATAATAACAAAAGCACACCATGTAATGAAACAACTATACATTACATTAACCCACATACCCCATCAAGTAATGTTAATATAAACCACATTGCCTAATGACACAACAACATTAAATAATAGTGAAATAATTATAATTTATTACAAAACCATATTAGGTATTGACAAAACCATATTAAGTAATGCCATAACCATATTGAGTAATGCCATAACCATATTAAGTAATGCCATAACCATATCAAGTCAGTACGAAACCATATCTTGTAAAATCGAAATATCATTTATTAATGACTATAAAAAAATGCAACGTAGTATACCGCTGTTCGATATTCATTAATCAATTAAGCGAAAACAAATTCGGGTTACAAACTACAACTGAGGAAATTTCCTATGGCTCTTGAATCAAAACAGTTTGAAAGCAAAATCAATGTTGATCTCTGTGTTTCTATAAAACTTCTTTCAAATCGTACTTAATAACTGAGCTGTCTTGTCGTAATAAAGATGCCAGTATTCTACAGATGATAGAACATCTTGAATGACACATGAACGAGTAAAGCTATGACTAATGAAAAATGATATCATAAATCCATGATCTGGCAATGAATCTAAGTGAATATATGTATAACATATAATTTGTATTTACCATATATGAGTTCTGATTTTTGACTGCTAATGTCACTTTGTATTTCTTTTTTTTTCATTTTTCCCTTTTCTTCGTCACTGATCATACCGGTGTTTTCATGGGTAAGTTCCAGTAAATCTGTTTTTGAACATAAAATGAACATTTTTAAAAGTAAAGTAACGCTTCGGCATCCTTTTATTCAGAGTACTGAAGAACCACGAAACATAAAAGGTCAAAAATGAATGACCTATCTTTAATATTTGCATTAGTGGCAAAAAAACAATATAATATGCATATCCAGAATTCTGAACCGACGATTTTAAGCCATATTTTTATCAAAACTTAATCTGTATACCATCACGAGAATAACAATCAATTTTCAACCATGTTGCAACGTTAACTGTACTAAAAGACACTCGCAAATGAGCAGCCAAATAAATGAAACAGAAATAAGTATAATGGTTTATCGTGCAATTTCATCTGCGGTTTGTGTTGTTATTTTGATATGTATCTTTCTAATTGCTTATGAGATTTGAATATTTGGTAAAATGCTTTTGTTTAAATTTACCTCTATGCGTAAATCATTAAATTAAAAAAAGGCAAGTGATGAAGATAAAAGATAAGTCGAAAAATGAATGACAACACGCCGATTAATACATAAGATAACAAGCTCAAGGATTATACATTGAGAAACGTATGTATAATGATAACCACACAATGGCCAACGAAAAACGTGTTCAAAAAGGCAAATTATAACATATAAAGTTAGAATTAGGTTACGTGAGAAAAAATCTTTCACACATCATATCTTCAAAGACGGACACTTAAATTCTAGTTCTTCTACTAAATCCTGCAATCGGAAAGTTTAGCTAGCTATGAAACCGGTTTAAATCATTTGTTTACCAAGTAAGGAATATGGCAGATGTTTATTATTTGTTCCGTTGATTAATATAGTCTAATATTTGGTTTTGTCAATTTTTCTGGACTTCCATATTTTTTTAATTTATCTTTAGGTTTGGAATGTTTTTTACTCTCCTGTGTTTTGGTAAAGTTCATTTTATAGTTTTACCATCCCAACATAAAACAGGGACCTTTGAGTTTGTATATTGTCTACATCTAACCACATACAATTGACATGAAACTATTGAAATACTTCACATAAATATTTCGCATAAATGATTTTTTTTGCATATATGATAGAATGAAATGCAGAAATACAATGAAATAGATTGACAATTGTACCACATTTCGTTTTTTTTTAACGGCGTATAATTCTACTAATTAACGAAACCATGACGATTGTCAGCAGAACAAAATCAAACAGTCTTGTTAATAAGAGAAACTAGAGTATCCAATGCTTAACTCACCTTCAAAAACATTGTTTCTGTATACAAATGGTCCTTTGGCTTCAATAATTCGTCGTCTTATTTCACATAACCTTCGGTCCAACTGGATTATAATTTCATTCTTTTCACAACAATTTCTACATTCGTACAAAGTCTTTTTGGAACTTGAATCTACAAGGTAGTTAATAAATTAAATTTCTATTTATTAAGACGCATAGTTAAAAATTTGAAAAAAGCAAACAAATCCTGCAAATTATCAGGACCGTAACTGTCAAGTAAAGAGTTTATTGTACTGCACAAAGGCCAAAATTTAAGTACGGTACTATTTACATGATATTACAAGGGAATTATCATTTAACGAATTCATTCATGTCTAATCTTAATCTATAACGCTCCCCCTATAGTTGTACTAATTATATCTTTGTTCAGATTCTAAACTGTGTAAGTCATCGCTTTCGAGTTCTTTCTCTGTCTGTCTTAAAATTTCCCTAACACTGATCCTACCTGTATTGTCTAAAGGGTTTTGTCCATAATTTGTTGCTGAACATAGAATCGAAACATTGAAAAAAGAAGAGTTTTCATAAAATTTTATCTAGACAACTGATAAATCAAAGATGATACAAAATATCAACATATATAAAGTTGAGGCTTAAATCTAGATTATTCTCTAATATTGGCAAACACTTGTATTGATCAATATCCCAGAACAGACAATTTAAAAGTAAACTGTTAAGCCGACATTGCGACATCAACTTATTAAAAACCCGCTCATATTAGCAGACAAACGATTGGAGCGGACATTTCCATAAAGGATTTTTATAAAGCATGCATAATTGAAGTTATGACGAAGCAAGTGACCAAGACAAGTGCAAACTATAAATTTGTAAACATCAAGAGGATCAATGAATCAGTAAAACATATACAAACAGAAACCAATGGGACAGTCATGAATGGTAGGACAAACGAAAGTTCAATCATTTTTGCTTGGTACACTTAAGAGATAGTTAGACTTGAGCCCGACCAATACTAACCAAAATTGGAGATACATACATTCCTTTGAAATAGTCAAACAGTGTTCAGCTCACACAACAATATTGTTTGTGTTACTTATGTAAAATTATCTTTATATGTTTAGCAAATTGATAATGTCTACATGTAGAGCTTATGGAACAAAAGCGGTAAATACCTGTATACATATTCAAACTAACAGATAAAATCATAAAATCGATCATTAAAATATTTATTGAATGAATTAACACTAGACATGTGTGGTAAACGTGTAAGAAACAGCAACTAAATGACCAAACACATTTTGAATGTAACATACATTCTTCAATTGTAGACAGTTGTGGTATCAATATGCCGAGTCTATCAAATGTGTGAAAACCATTAAAAAATCAGGTTTCAATATCAAATTCTTAAAACAGGAAAAAAATAACAACGGATCCAGGCTTCCAGGCTTTGAAAAGAAACATAAACATTTGAAGAGTTGAACTTGTTTCTTTTTTTAAGTTTTAGATTTAAACTTGTTTTCTTTTTGATTTTTTATTTAAACTTTTGTTAATCTCGATCAGTTGACCTAACCGTAAATAAAAGATCTAAATATAAAAATGCAGGATAAGAAAAGCCACTTACAGTAAAATAGTGCTATAAAAACTCCCCAACACACACAATAATATAGGATTAAACTACTTTTTACACTCTTTCACTTTTCACTCACAAACAAAGAAAAGTCCGAAGAAATTCTTTTAAAAATGCGTTTAATCCCCTTAATTCTTTAAAGTTGGAGAAAGGAATTTGATTTCCCCACTCGTAAAATCACACGTAAATTGTAAATTTGTGGCATTGAAATGACCTGGCTCATGAATATGTTTTTGGTTAATGCTAAAAAATATACTCCATGAAATTTGTTATCTGAAAAATATCTTATTTCTTTCAAATAATTGCTTTGTGTTTATTATTTAATTCGACGATCAACCCGAAGTGAAAACAAAATATTTTTAACGTCGAGCTGGTTTGAGTTATTATTGCCGTCATCTTGTTTACATTGGTTACAATAAGTAGTTCTGTAAATGTCGTCTATAAAAAAAACAACGTCAAGATATACTACCGGAAGTCCTTTCGACCAATCACGAGAACGTATTCCCTTATATGCAAATCGTATAAGGACTATTTAACAATATTCAACCATATTACAGAATGGTAGCAGTTACTGACTGAAGCTAAACAAAAAAAAAGATTTTCTACAGATACGAAACCATGTCATACAATCTTTTGTCAGTTGCTTTACTTAATAGAATGTTTTACTTTTGCCGCAGCGCCATACACAGTGCAGGAATACACGACGTTGTGCACTGCCCAGAGCACATTATACATAAAAACAAATTTTCGAACTTTACAATATCAAAGAGTGTAAAGCCTAAAATTACCTGACGCAGCGGCTGAACATCCCCAATATAATTCGAACCTTTAAAAATTAGTTTTGTCAAATGCAAACCTTTTGATAAATAATTTTATGCTTTTTGTTTAGCTTTTTAAATAATTTTTTGTTTGTTTTTTGAACTGGATTCGAGAAACTACTTTTTGCATCTAATTACTACGGAGGAAAACTTATAAATAAATAAATACATTATTAATCCTATATTTTATAGGTTTTAGATAATGTTCATCATGTTCATCCTAATTTGAAAACGGCACCTAAAACATGCGCATAGCGAACTCAGAAAGGACAAATATATGTGGGAATCAGATCCATGGCGAATTCCAGATCTATGGCAGATTCCTAATCTATGGTAAATATGACGTCATGCCGTCCTAAATCTAAGGCAGATTTTTTTAGAATCTAAATCTATGGTAAATTTTCTAATTTATGACGACTTTTTAGTTTCAAAATTTATGGCAGATTTTCTGTCATCCGAAGACTTATGATTATTATTTTTTGCACATGAAGGACTATTATATTCACATCCATGACCTTAAGTTGCCTATTTTGATTCCTGTAGACAGTTTTCTGTACAAAAAAAGAAATGCATTCTCCTTATTTAGATAAATCAAACTACCTTTAAATTAATACATTTCTTCACGCTTGCCACTAATATGGAAATTTATAAACCGAATCTATATATGGCTTATTCTTTTGATGTTTCTGTTATTCAGCTCAAAATCCGGAATGCATTTCATTGATAAAGTGTATTTTTATGTAGTACTTTTTATTGAATGTATTTAGGTATGTCAATAAGCTTTGCAATGTGATTGGACACAAGTGTGTTATTCTGTACTTGTAAGACCTTCCATACAACAAAGACGTATAGCGATAATTGTATCAAATAGGAAGGTATATACAGGCATTATTTTTTATCAAACCTTTCGAGATTTATTTCAGTAATTCAGACATGTGTTTATATGATATTGGGTGTTATGACGCAGCCGGTCTTGCTTTGTTGATTTTTATGTTGCCTTTTAAATTATTAGTAGTCATTACGTCGGTAATGGCATAAACATGCAAATATCGTTTAATTTGTTATTTCGCTTTTTTGGAAATTGTTTTAACTTAAGAAATATTACTACCTCGTCTGGATATAGTCGTTGTCTATATGGTCTAGCAAGTCTTCAGTTTTTTCAATGAGATTTTTTTTTTTAAATTTTGTCTTCAGGTGTCACTGAAGAGACATTAATGGTCAAATTGCAAGTGTTGTTAATCTTTTATTTGACTACAAAACGTAACTGCAATTTTCACACACATCTCTTGTATACAAGACCATTATAACATTAAGCAAGTTTTACTCATGTTTATTTTACATACTTAGCATATTTCTCTTGTTAAATTGTTTAACACTACTTTTACACTCTGTTCCTGTAGGGCCTTGATTATCTTGTCCTTATCGTCACAAAACTGACTTAAAGTGTTATTAAAATGATGAATGATATAATAAACGCCAAATGATTTATCATTTAGCAAACATGAATTCATCATGTTCATTCATATCTAATATTTATCTTTATCATATACTTAGAATAAATAACCAATAATTTTTACAGTATGATAAAATCATTTAATTTACGTGAATTCCATATTTTCCGAATTGGTGCTTAGCGGGCTTTGTTTGTACTTACCATATGTTTGTTCTGATTCTAAACTACTCAAGTCGTCGCTCTTTAATTCTTTTTGTTTCGTTCCTATTTTTTCTATAACACTGATCATACCGGTGTCGTCTGGTCGGGTTCGTCGCAATAAAGCTGTTTTTGAGCATAAAATGCAAACCATTAAAAATAGAAGCGCGTTTAAAAAATACTGATAAATCCAGGATGTAACATCAATTAAATATCTATCGATGACAAAATGCATTATTGACAGAATTCAAGACGTTTTAAATGGGCGAGCATGTAATGGAAACTAAAATCTAGACTATACTCAATGATTGGCAAACGCTAGTATTGATAGAAGCATCCACATAACCCTAAACAGACATTTTGGACTCTTTTTAGAGATGAAAAATATATACATTTTTAGAGAAGAACCAATCAAGAAATTTTGAGTTGTAAATTGTAATGCCGACATTTTGACTTTGCTATATCAATTTATTAAAAGATGCAATCATGTGTTATGATTAATCGTTATAGTAATGTCCACTAAATTAGTGAGTTTGTCCATTTGAGCGGGTCTTTTAATATATTAATTTTGTAAAGTCAAAACGCCGGCTTTACATTTTACAACTCAAAATAAGCTTAACAATAAGATATTACAGATGTAGATTCACATATCTTTTTTGTGTAAATACATCTTGAATTCTGTCATGTACAAAAAAAAACGAACTCCGAGGAAAATTCAAAACGGAAAGTCCTTAATCAAATGGCAAAATAAAAAGCTCAAACCCATCAAACAAATGGATAACAACAGTCATACTCCTGAATTGGTACAGGCATTTTCTGTGTATAAAATGGTGGATTAAACATGATTTTATAGCTAGCTTAACCTCTCACTTATATGACAGTCGCATAAAATTGTGTAAACAAAACAAACAGACATAACAGGTATAAATTTCAAAATTAGGGTACAGCAGTCAACATTGTGTTATAAAACGTTAATCAAAATGTATTGTTCAAAAATAGGAATAATGATGTTTCAAGTTAAAGTTATTTTGTAAAACCTATATCTCAGGGAGTTTAGTATAAAAATTATTAGAAATTTGTAGAATTGGTATGAAAAAAAGGCAAGTGTGTTGTTTACAACAAATTCCGATGTACAAAAAATACGCTATTCAAATTAAAAACTTTTGAAGAGTTTTATTGACGTTTTAAAATTGTCCATTAGATTGTCAAAGATTCTGTCCGCAGTGAAAGAGGGTCTCCAGATGTACCGTGAAACTGTTTACTCGCGTAATGGTATTAACCATATGTGAATACTAAATAAAGGCAACAGTAGTATAACGCTGTTCGAAAGTCATAAATCGATTGAAAGAAAACAAATCCGGGTTACAAACAAAAACCGAGGGAAACACATCAACTATAAGAGGAAAACAACGAAACAACAGAAACACGGAAGTGAACAAATAAAGAACTTCTGGATAATTTTAAATCTCGATCTTTCTCTGCAATAAGTTTTATCAAAACTTTTGATTTTTCAACACTGTATATCATCATTCCCAATGTGAAATTAAAACATTGTCTAAAAGAAATAATCCACAATGCTTTTAAACATAAGAATTGTAAAATACGCTATAAATTTATTACTTTGGGATACCAAACGGCATATTTTGTTAATAGTGAACAAAAAGGTAAAACATGCTACACAGAGGAACAAGTGTCAGTATGCTGGAGTTTCTTATTGACAACATATTTGTTGAATTTGGAGGTAGACTTTTTTCAACAAATTGTCGGCATTACCATGGAAACGAACTGTGTGCCTCTCCCTGTCGAACTCTTTTTTTTTCATATGAGTCGGAGTTCCTTCAGACACTTGTCAAAAACAAGAAGATCAATGAAGCCAGATCATTTAATTTCACATTCAGATAGATTGATGATGTTCTTTTCATTAACAATCTAAAATTTTCTGATTGGGTTCCATAAATATATCCACCAGAACTAGAAATTAAAGAAATAACTAACACGGCTTCCTCCGTCTTATTTTTAGACTTATACCTCGAATTTAATATAATCGATCATCTCAGTACCGGAATGTATGACAAAAGAGACGATTTTAATTTTCAAATTATCAATTTCCCCCAACTTAGACGCAATATACCAACTTCACCTGCATATGGGATATACACTTTCCAACATATTCGGTATTCAAGAGCTTGCAGCTGCTACTCAGACTTTGTAAAACATTACCAGTGTCTTAGCAGAAAATTGATGAACCAGGAACATGTCAAAGAACGTCTTGTCCTTTTTCTTAAAAAGTTCATCGGAAGATACCAAGACCTTATTGATAAATATTCCGTATCAACTTAACAAATAATACACGATGGCCTTGAAGTATAGATTCTAGGTACTGATGCTGTTTATCATCTTAATAACGTGTTATAGTATTCTTTTAATTGTCTTTGTAAATTATTACTTTAACTGTTTAGTTATTTTTGGCAAAATCCATTTGACGTGGCTCGGTATTTAAATTTTTGTATTCTTGTCTTTCGTTTCTGCTAATGTGCTTTGTCTATATGCCTTTTTTGGTTATCTTAGTTGATATATTTGCTTATTGTTATAGTGATTAAGATTATAATACAATGTTGACTGCTGTGTCCCTATTTTTGTCATTTTTACCTATGATGTCTGTTTGTTTTGTTTACACATCGTTGTCAATATAATGGAATTTTGTGCGACTGTCATATAAGTGAGAGGTTGAGGTAGTTATAAAACCAGGTTCAATCCACCATTTTCTACATAAGAAAATACCTGTACCAAGTCACGAATATGACAGTTGTTTTCCATTCGTTTGATGTGTTTGAGCTTTTGATTTAGCCATTTGCTTAGGGACTTTCCGCTTAGAATCTTCCCCGGAGTTCGGTATTTTTGTTATTTTACTTTTTATATTCATCTATATCTTATTCTTTAATATGCATGTATACATTCAAACATAGCCGGGATTTCAAGATATTATGATAGCGTTAAAAAACGAGGACTTTTTTAACTGCCTTATAAGCAATTATTACAGAAATATGACAATTTTCTTTAATATAAGTTGTTCTTTTGTAACTTTGTCTCAAATCAAGATGTTTTTTTAGTCAGAATTTTGTCACATTGTGTCATGATTTTGTTGCTGATTGTTGATGGCCGTTCGGTGACATTAAATTGCGTACGTCAACGTTTTGTTGATTCCTGTGGATTGTTTTCTGATTGGAAATTATACGCCATCTTCATATTTAGATAAATCAAACTCTCCCTTCATTTCATTATTCCTTTGTGCTTGCCACTTATTTAATTTAGAAATTTAAAACGGCTATTTTATACTTCGATGATTATTTACCTCTCAGGTTTCTATTCTCCGCCTGTAGCTCTATAAAATATGAATGGCTAATTAAAAACTCGTTATCAATATTGGTAAGTTTAATATTTTTTAAATTATAAAAACCGAATCTATATATAGCTTATTGCTTTTTGTATCTTTTAGTCGAGCAGCTCAAAAGGAAAAGTACATATGACCACCTCATTTATAAAGTGTTTTTTTTTCCGTGTTGTACTTTTCATTGCATTGCTTTAGGTATGTCAAAAAGTCTGTCACTGCGGTTGGACAACAGTGTATTAATTTTACACTTTCCATGCTTCAGAGACGTATACTGATAACTGTAGCAAATATGAAAGTCTATTAGGGTATTATTTCGTATCAAGCCGTTTGGAATTGATTTCAGTGATGCAGATAATTGTTTGTATGATAGTAGGTGCTGGTACGCATCCGGTCTTGCTATGTTGATTTTGATGTCACCTCTAAACTACCAGTAGTCATTAATCCTGTACTGGCATGAACATACAAGTATGGCGTTATTGACAATTTGCTGTTTCACAATTCTGGAAATTATTCTAATTTAAAGAATATTACTCCCTCATTTAAAGCTCTTGTTCCTTGCCAGAATCTAGCTATAGGTTTTGTCCAGTTTTGTTTAGCAACTCTTTAGCAACAATTTATTTTAAGAAGATTTGGATTGTCAAATAATTTGACCTCAGGTATCAATGAAGAATCATTTATTGTATAAATGCTAGTGCTGTAATTAACTGCAATGCTCACACGTTAATTGTATATAAGAACATGACTGTTAACATTAAGCAATTTTACTCTTTATTATGTTTATTGTACATACTAAGCATATTTGTCTTGTTAACTATTTCGTGTTTTTCGTTCTGTTCTTCTAGAGCCTTGATTATCTTGTCTTTATCGTCACAAAACTGACATGATGTTTTAGTTAGAGAATCTGTGGTTTCCGGCTCGAAAACTTCCGATGTTTCTTTAAAAAAACAACCATTCATGTAAAGTATCCGACAAATAGTTGAATGGAAATAAAGATTAGAAGAGCATAATACAGGTAATCATCACTTCTCCCCTTTCTAATTTATTTTTAAAAGACAAATCATTCCTCATATTTCGTTTACTAAAATTTCAGCAGAGATAGAATACAATTATAGCCTTTGTATGAGGTCGATACAAGAATGTAGTGACCTGAAAGAAGTAAATTGACTGAGGACGAGGACGAGGTCGATATACTTCTTTGGGTCGATATATCCTGTTTTGACCTCATACAAAGCTATAATTGTTATATTATTAATTCCAACCATATTTGTATCAAAATCGTCGGTGCATTATATTTTCTTTTTTCGATCATTTAATTTTGTTGTAATTTTATAGATATCATTTTGTCTCTTTGACAATAACTACATATTAATTGTTATTTCAAATATTTTTTATACTTTTTGTGTATATCTTATGTATTTGAAAAAAAAATCGATCATAAATAGACACCTTTTAACAATATCATGAAATTCATTAGATGACGTCACAAAGTATATCGGTTTTTAGACATTAACAAAAAAAAACCGTGCAATATCACTTTTGCTATCCGCCGTTTTCTATCTACCTTCGTAAATATAGTTTAACATGTGAGTATACCTGAACGAATCAGATTAGTTAAAATATACGAATTAATAATATTACATGATATGGCACTTTATACCTTAGAGTTATCTAATTTTGTATCACATAAAATGAGGTTTTGAACGTTGATGCGTTATTTCACGTAAGGGAAGGATAAGCATTAAATTAGGCTAAAAGCTTTTGTTTCTTGCACGTTTTTGTTTATTGACAACATATCGGCTTCTTCTTCTTCTAATTGACGTATCTGTAATGAAATAAACAGTTGAGTGGTGTTACAATTTACATGCCATTTTGAAAGTGTGTGCTTCAGTTTCTGTCATATTGATAAACACATCTATAAGTTTATATTATTGACGTCTTGACCTTTGTTTATTTTTAGTGTGTCTTTTTCCACCCCCTTCTTCGACATGATAAACTATATGCCACTTCAAGTAAACAATTTTAGAACGTAGAACGATTTCCTTAATAGTTTAATTGTTTTTACCTGTTTGTGAGTACATATCCAGTTCCGGTCGGAACTCCATCTCATTGATATCTTCTATAGATAAATATTCATCGGACGTAGATGAATACTCATCGGATATAGATGAATACTCAGTGGACAGTTGTTTTGTATTATTGTCATCATTCCATTTTTTTGCAAATAAACATTTTACAACTGCAAGCTGATCTACAAAACACATTTATGCAGTACACAATACAACTGTTGTGCAGGTTTACCTGGAATAATCCTACATAATGTACAAAGATTCAACTGAAAAACGTTTCGCCAAGGTACGATACATTGTATGTTTTCTAAATAATAAATTGATAATAATAATAAAATTAATCAATGATATAAGTTTGACAATTAGCTCCATTGCCAAATTGAAATAACTTTGTATGTAGGACCTTTCCAGCAGCTCCTGTATATGGATCTTTTATCTTTGAACTCATATGATATGTGTTCCGATATAATGATTAAATACCGGGGAACTGCAAAGGTAATACATCAATCAGCCATTAAAGTATGTATATGACAGACATTTACTGATTATACCGTTTTTGATATTCCAGAGTTTAACGGTTTAATGTGAAAAGGGAAATGTGATTGCAAAACTAAGTCTTTGAAACTATTGACTGGCAAATAGAATGTAGAATAAAATAGCACGAATATTTCATTATTTTTGTTAAGATAAATATATAATAGTACTATCTATTTGATCAGTTCAAATATTATTAGTGAAGCAGGTGTCCCATTAGTCAAATGTCACAATCTCGTTCTCTTATTATATGTTTATCAACATTAAAATGTCGAATACGATATAATATTAGATTGTTATTTGTCATGCATCACCCAAAGTTTCCGACTAATAAAAACAAAGAATTACAATTCTACTCAATTTGATATCATATGTCGGTTTCCTTGCATCTCTTATTTTTACTGCTGTTTAAAGTATGGTTTTGTCATCCTGTCTTCGACGGATTATATTTTTCGTCGATGAGGCATATGTAATACCTTTTATTTTGAACAAAAAGCGCTAACAACCCTACATTGCCAAAATAAAAAGGAAAATCATACATCTCTGATTAGCTTAAACAACATGATGAGTATTTAAGGCAAAAATACTTTTGGAGATGGCTTTGGTTGTTAATGATTGTCTTGAGATAAATATTAAAAATGAGGTTTTCATGACTATTTTGCTTAATACACCGCTAAGTTTCATACACCTATCTATTTTGTACAAATTATATAACCAGTATTTCCTTTACCTGAGTTACGGGGATACTTACCTTCTGTCAGAGGACCTCCAAATCTCACATTAACAGTAATTGTGTCTTCAATATCTACGTCAATCTCACCCGCTGTTTGTATATTTTGAACTAATGTAAGCATGGCTGCTTTAAAAGTTTCTACACTATGTAAAATTCCAGGTGTGGCTTTCAATTCTAAAATTATGCTGTTGACTTTTTTCCCAGTAATTTCGATTGTTTCTGTCACTGCTGCTTCTGGTGAGCTGTCGTTGTTAGTTAGAATTTCTATTTCTAAAGGAAGATTTTCAATGATTTCGTTTTCTTTGTCTTCAGTCACATGTGTTTGATTAACTTTAACAGTGATATCGACTTTTCCATTATCTAAAATAGAAATATATAGTATGTGCTATTGAACTTTGATGTTATAGCTTTTAATTTGGGAATAAAGAACTATCAAGCTGTTTTTCTTTAAACTTTATAATATACCCAATTGTTCAATGTATAAAATTTGCTTTGCCTAAAATGTTATAATATCCCAGTTTATATTGATCTGTAGTACCCATAGTGGTTTTCGAACATGATATCTTATGTTTTCTAGTTGAAACAAAATCTTAGTTTCTCACCTGGCGATTTTGTAGTAGACTTTTCTATTTGCTCCGTGTTCATAACCAAATCCACTTTTTGTTTACCGACGTAACCTATCAAAATTGTCTTCAGTTCTTTTATATCTGTCTTCATATCCATAACTTCAACTAGGTCAAAATAAATAAAAAAAGTGTATTAGGAACACAATGTTCGCCTTTAATTTTGTTTAATTAGGTAATTATAAGCTTCTTTTGCTTAACGCCTCATTCAACTTGTTTTGGTTAATATGTTAGCTTTAACACTACGCATAAATTTAGACATGTTTCACTTGATCTATATATTGTTTAAATTGAAGTTGACGTTCATATCGGTATGATTTTGTTAATATGTTATTTTGGACTTATATTTTATAAAACGTTGATGCTGGTTGTGACTCCTGCGTAGTATGACTAACAATGATTAACAAAATAAACCAACCGTGTCGACACACATTGTATCAACCACATAGAGTTAACGAAGTTCTTTATTTTGTCATTTTAAACTTTGACTTTTGAAATTTGTAATGAATAGGTATACAACTTTTGTGTTGCTTTGTTTAAGTAGTTATTCCACTGATCTTTGTAGAAGAGGAAGGATCATTATGCAAACAAGTCCAATAAAACAAAACGTTAATGAGCCTTTTTATGTTAATATTGTTTTGTAGTGTCCGTATAAAAAGAAGATGTGGTATGATTGCCAATGAGACAACTCTCCACAAGAGACCAGATGACACAGAAATTAACAACTATAGGTCACCGTACAGCCTTCCAGAATAAGCCAAGCCCATACCACATAGTCTATAAAAGGCCTTGAAATGACAAATGTTAAACAATTCAAACAAGAATATAACGGCCTAATTTATGTACAATATAATGAACAAAAAAACAACAAAACGACAACCACTGAATTACAGGCTCCTGACTTGGGACAGTCACATACAGAATGTGGCGGGGTTAAACTCATTTGAAGGCGCCAAGCCTCCCCTAACATGAGACAGTGGTGTAACAGTACAACATAAGAATAAACTATAGAAATCAGTTGAAAAATGCTGAACTCAATACATGTTCATTTATGAAAGTGAAGTTATTATTAAGAAACTAAGGTTTCCTATTCCATCATGCAAAGTTAACCTAGATTGATTTGGATATTTTTAAGGTCCCATTTTGTTCACAGCTCGTCACGTACTGTACTTTTACATCCTGGGCATTCAAATGTATGGTCATGAGCGTTCCTGATGAGTTAAATCCTGTAAAGCGCTTGACATGCATATACACTTGTAAAGCGTTATTTTCTTTTCATTATTGCGCCTGAACGATATCGCTGCTGGTTGACTATTAATCCCCTGTATAATGATTATTTTGTGCTTCAGAACTGATATGATTTAAGAATTACCTTTTTAGATTCTTCTTTCAGAAATTAGGAATGTTTTTAGAAACTCAGGATCCAACTCCCTCAGGCTAAGTTAATCTAAGATTGGTTTCACAATTATTTGGTGATCCCTTATGGTAATACAGCTCTTTGCATGTTTCTGCACTTACACATATTTGGCTTTTGAACTGATGACACAAACACTCCTGATGAAGATACGACAAAAAAAGCGATCGGGCGCATACAATTGACTTTTCTACTCGGACATATTTTGATAAACGTTTGGAAGGATATTGCATATTCATCATTGCCAAACCGAGAGAAAAAAATGCAGAAAAGAAAATACCAGCGCAGATACAAGTATCTAGTTTTTGATTGAGTCAAATCTTACTTCGTTTTGGACATCTTCCAATATCAAAGACACATAGATGGAAATTATTAAAATACTATATGTGTTTTTTTTTAGTTATTGAGTTTGATTCATTATATATCCAGCAGATATTCTATACTTCAAAATGTATAGTTGCGTGATAATCTTAGTCGATTAAATCTTATTTAAAGAGAATGTATATACATATCTTGGATATCTATTGAAAAGAATGGCAAAATCTTTGACTTTGAAATAAATACGTAAGTGATCATGACTTTCACCTTTTTCGTTCAGTTAGTATTCACACTACATATTTGTCTAAACACCATATATTTAAGGCGAAATTAAACAATTTGCTACAGAAATAGCTTTTCGTGCAATTTATGCTGCTGAAAACTACAATGATAAACGTCATAATTTTGGTTTTCGTTTTTCAATTCCTTTTCAACTTGCAAAATACAATTTGGATTCGCTTACAGATTTAAACTCTCTGAGTTGATTGTGGTATGTTAGAGAATGACCATTCCCGATACATAGAAATACTACCCGCTGATCAACTATCTCAGCAGATGACTGGAAGATGGCTTTTAGAAATATCGGGTTATAGATTATTCAACCAGTGTTGTTCATCAGATGCAGATTTTTAAACATAGCTTATTACTAGCTTATTGACTGACTGGCTATAGCTTCCAAATGTAATAACGCTATAATGATCTAGACTTAATGAAACGGAAACAGTGTAAACAAACTTTCTATCTTATTGTTCAATTAGATCCTTTTGCACATAATTTCATTTATTTTGTAAAGCATCATGGAATGGAACAACAGGAAACGGTAGGTTTGTGGCCTTTGCGCCAACCGTATAGATTTGGATTAGAACGGATAATTCATAGCAAGCCCTTAGACAACTTAATGACGACGACGAGGGGTTCTGACGACCTTGTCTTCACATGCTGGTTTAGCGCGCAGTTTCCTCAATACCGTATATATAAATTTCAAAGGATCTAAATTTGGGTAATTAAACTTTTTAAACTCTTCAAAACAAGATAAACGCATTCTGTATATTAATATTTGTCTATTAAGATAAATCATAATTACCGAAATCTATTCAACATGTTCAATTTAAAGAATTTGTAATGCTTAATTATTAAATGAAATATGTATTAACCAATATGAAATTTGGAGTTAAAAAATAGAAGCTAATACTCCATTTAAGTTATATTCGACTAATGTTAACTTTTTGCATGTCTAAATAAAGATTAGAACGGTATGGATGTAAGATTTCCAACTTTTTAGAATAAAAAGGACAAAATATGAAATTATTTTCATGAAATTCCGCTGATTTATTGTCAAAAAGTAAACTAGACAGTCGTTTTACTAAAAATGGGTTAAGTTAGATAATTTATAAGAAGTAGCTCGTTGATTATCGTTTACGAATCCACTGCTTCTTATAATTTCTCTAATACTTCTGAAGGTCTACTCCAAAACCTTTAATAACAATACTAACACTTTTTGAGTAATATGAAATCTTTTGATTGCTCTACGTTCTACACTACTGTTCAACATTCTCAGTTAAAAATATGACACAATCTCATTTTAAAGGAGATTTCTTTTTTTATGCAACCCAACGAAAATCATACCATTACCAGGAAACCACAATTTGGTACACAGTTATCAATAGTACCATTCTAAACATTTTATTAAATTAATATCCTTATCTTAACTGATCAACGTATATTTTATGAAATGTGTCCTTGATACTGTAATCAGACTTATTTAACGTTTTGAAGATCACAAGTTGAAGCGATTTTAATACATTTCTATTCATATTTACCTGTCAGTTTTCTATTCTCTTCTTTTAGATCTATGACATGTAAAAGATAGATGCAATAATGACGTTTCATAATCAACAATTCAATTGTACAAGCTAAATACTAGTATATTAAGAAATAAACCCAAATTTCTATTCTATGTTGCATTTTGTTGCGTTTCCAACATTTTAAGCATTGTTTTCGTAGTGGTATTTATATCCAGTCACAAATAACATTTAATGTTATACAATGGACAAGTGACCATGTTTGTAGCTTCGAGTAACATTTCATGGTAGTCATTGACACATTTGTTGAATAAGACCCACTAAATCGTGTCTGTAAATTTTTAGAAAATATGACTTCGGTTTCACCATTCAAATCCAATATTTAGCCAAATCCTTGTGACAAAATCAAATTAAAGAAATCATGATAAGAAAAAGGAGCCATGGACTTTTTGTATCGACTAGAATATTGTCAAGACTTCGACAAGAAGTCAAGAATTATGATTAATGAATTGAAAAATTGATAACTCGAAAATTGAAAGCATATCTGGTGACACTTATTTTCAATTTCTAAATGTATGTTAAGATATCCTTAATTGAAATTCTATTGAGTAATTGTGTATATCGAATTGATTTATTAAAAATTACCATTAAGCATTTTTGGTTCGTTAATTGTTTGTTCTCACCAACCCTCTATCACGAAAATATCGATAGGAAATACAAAGTCACGAAAATCGTATCTAATGACCATTACCCCAATAAGGAAGTGTATTCTTGAACATTGTTCCTTTATTTATATAGTTTGTTTGATTATTTCCAAAATTAATATATGTGATCCTGATCAAGGATGATTATACATCTTTTAACCGTAACAGAACTTAAAAATATTGTTATTGTCGTTTATGTTCCATTTCACATCCGTATCTCAAATAGGATGGCAAAGTCAGCGCAAAACAAGGGAATATATTTGGACAGACTTCTTCTTAGACACAATCTTTCGTTTATCACAGAGTGAATTACATTGACATCATTGTAATTCATGCTTTCAAACTGCTAATCATATGTTTGAACGCTTTATCTGCGATAAACTGAAAATTTAACTGTTTACAATTGCAACTTTATCTCGCGTTCAATGGATGGTGCTTTTATTTATATTCTACATTTTGTTCGTTAATTCATTGTATCTCTATTTGTATTTTCAGGTTTTAACCATTTGTTAGATTGGTTCTTGATTAAATTATCAGCATAAGATAGTCCTTTTTTGATTTAGCCCAAACGTCGGGCAATTACAAAGTGCGAAAAGAAAGTCGCTACATAAAATTGAAATTTACCAGTGGTAGTAATGATTTTGTAATAAACATGATAACTTATAGGCTAACCTGAGGGTATGAAGTAAATCTAGCTGTGTCTATAGCATTCATCATTTAAAGTTCAAATGGCTAGATGTTATAAACAGAGTCAATTTTCAGACGTGGTGTTTATGAACAATGCATGCAAGCTTTTCAATTTATTTTATTTTAGAAAAAATAAAATATGTCTCATGTAACATGTATAATGCGAACAGAAAAAAAACCATGTAAGCTAATTAATTGAAAAAAGAGTCCTAATTAATCAACAAATATGATTGTTTTAAGCACATCTACATCTTCACGATGTCAAGTTAAGAAAATGTTCGTAGATAAAAAAAAAATAATTTATCTGGCTCATTAAATTTTGGTACACTATTAAACGAATTTTATTATTTTATCTAGCATGTTTATAAATTATCATAAATACACAATATCAAATAAAATTAGTAGATTTGGCTAACTAAGTCCCTTTAGTTGAATAAAGTAACATTCATTTTAAGTGGAAATTTGTGTTAACGTTGGTAAAAATCCAATTATAAATTTTTGCTAGCCCCTATTTGTGTTTAATGTAAGATAGCTCTGGTTAATGTTCTCAACATTTTATCATTATGGTGAGATAATATAATTCGGTTTTCATATATAGTCTTTTTACAAATTTCTGATGTTTCCAATCATAATTTCTCACTAAAGCATTTCTCATAAGTTTCAAGTTTCTTGAATAAAATTGTGGTTATGGTGTTCTTTTTTTGTTTTTGTTTTTGTGTTTACGTGTATGTGTATCTTGTGTGTGTTTGTTTTAGGGGTTTTTTCACAGCATACGTGTAATTGTCTTTAGAGAATCAAGTAATGCAAATAAATGAAGACAATTTTCTGCTTTGAATTCTGACATGATAATTACACAATATTAAAATAATAAATATTTTTACAAGTAGAACGATCAATGCTGGTGTATGTTAGATGAAGCGGACAACAACTTAAAACATTGTATTCTTGACAGCAGCATGACTACAGGTGTCAAATGAAACGTATATTATTTACCTGAATAATTTACCTCAAATTATAAGCAGACAGAATACTATTTATATAGTGTATTATCATAATGCGGCTTTAAAATTAAAATATTCCAGGAAAAGTTTCAGGCAAATGCACTATCTGTACTCTCACAGTAATTTGCCTCATCAAACTCAGTAACTTAAAATGTAACTAAATAATATTTAAAGAATTATAAAAGGTGTTTTTATATTGGTTAATAATAATTGTAAACGTTTCAAAACAAATGGATACAATTATAGATATAGTTACTCTTGCATACGAATCACGCATCAAAAGAATAAATTAACACAACATTCGTGCTCCAGTTTTAATGCAGATTCTAAATTATCAATATAACCAACAGTTGTTAAATGATAGGATATTGACTGCTAACGAATGCTAACCCACAGTAAAGTATATTTGTTCGAAATTTTTTAAACCTTCTCAGAAAAATGAACGAACTACTTCACTTTCATAGCTCGTAACTAACGTGTTTACACATTAATATAATATAATCGTTAAACATTATTTGCCTCTAACAGTTTAAGACACAATACAGATCGTATGCTTGCATCAATCTACCAAAATAAAGATTAAATAAAATCCTGCACATTTTGACATTGTTTATTTTTTTTTTTTTTCGTGTCGGTTTTTCAATATTAACACAACTTCCTGTTTAAATTCGACTAAATACCCTAATTCCGATATCGTCAGATAAATACGCTCCATTATCTGAACTGTCTGAACAATAAATCATTAAGTAAAGTTGATATCATGAGACTCTTTAATATAACATTCAGAATTTTGCCACAATTATAAGCAATACATTCTTAAATAGCCATATATAGTTATATCTTTAGAACTGCAGATTGGAAGTGTTTTGTGTACATATGGTAAATTGAATTATATATGTAGTACTCGGAGGTGCGATGGGGACGCTGAAGTGCGATGGTCACGCTGAAGTGCAATGGTCTTCACGAAGCGCGATGGTCTGTTCGCTTATGTGCGATGGTCTATATATGTCATCTGTTACAGTTTCATACTAAATGAGAGATCGTTATCTTTAAATTTACTGCATGTGAAAATTATTCTGCGTAAACAGTTCATCTTTACTTTCTACCTTTCATCTGAGATAACTATATGTCTTAAAGTAATCTCAGCTCCCAGCTCTCATGAGTTTCACGTTTACCGTAATATCATAATAGGTAGAGTCTGTCTGCGGGCCCATTTATAGTTAGAGAATTCCAAGCCCCATCGTACGTTAACAAACAAAACTATAGATATAGATAAGGATCTGCTACAGAAGCTAATTTTCCCCTCTCTTACTAATTATTCCCAGTTTCCGGTTGTAATAAAAATTTATTTATTTGTATTCATGTTAGAAATGAAAAAAACATTCCATTTTTTTCAGTCGCTGTAAAAACCACCGACGGTGATAATTTTTTTAAGCCCTGATTATATTGCATTTTTCACAACTTTCACATTTTCAGTCACTGAACATGAAAAAAATTGAACATATAGTCTACGTAATCCATCGCACATCAGCGTAACCACAATCTCACTTCGGCGTAGCTATCAACAAGATAGCGTCACAATGCCACCATCGTACTTCAGCGCAATTCAGCATCAAACCATTGCACATCAGCGAGAACATCGCGGTTCGGAGTACCATCGCGGTTCAAGAGTCCTACATATAGGTATGGGTTATATAAGCGATACAGCATAATTCAAGATACCTGCGTTGATTTCCACAGTATGCTTCCTTATTTCATTTTGCTGTTCGATTATTTTGTCCTCCAAGTGTCCTCTGGACCGAATCACCGTTTGACAAACTCTATGTTCACACTCTTTAAGAAATTGCAAAGATAACAAGCTACAGACATTTATAACATATACAGATCGATATTTAACAGTTATTGTACTACTTTCTATTGATAAACAAATAATTAGTGTAATTCATAAATAAACAAATTAGCTATCTTGTACACTGATGTTGCTCCCTTACACACAAACATACACACGTCCATATCAATCATGGGAGCCAATTGTGCTCTTCGTCATAGCGACTGCATCATGTGCATACGGGAGTTTCTAGGGAAGATTAAAAAATGTTGAAGGCCTCTATCTCATCGCGCTTTCAATAGGGAATACGACCCATAAAGTTCAGTCTGCTTCATATCCTAATTAAGATTAACAATTGACAAGGAGTGTCAGTTGAGAACAAAAATAACGACAAAAGGTATGAGTTCAGCTTCCCAATGTGAATTTTTCTTTTCAATGTCAAAATCCCTGCAATGCCAGAACATGCAGTTTATTCCTTCCAAATAATGCTATATTTTAAAGGTTGCGTTTCTTATTATGTTTGCCTTGTTACACGGAAACATTAAGCTCAGGGTTCCAGGCTGTAAATTTGAACTCTCCACCTTTTTACATTTGTTCCAATTGCCAAAGCCACTTTCCCGTCCTGTGTTCCTCACAAATACATCACTGAATGGGACTACTCGAGTTTGTACTTTCTTGAGCAACACAGCAGATGCCACATGTGAAGCAGGATCAACTTACCCTTACGGAAAACCTGCGTTCAGCTTTTGTGGGGTTCGTGTTGCTCAGTCATTAGTTTTTTTATGTTTTTCTTTGAAGACTGTTGTTTGTGTTTTTGTTGGGGTTTTTTGCACTGGCCTAGCCAATTTACTTTCGACTAATGAATTTGAATATCCCTTAGGGGTCGTCTATCTCTCTAGAGATCTTTTATTTCATATTTTCAATGTTCACTTTACGGATATCGAAATTGAAATATATACATGATCCTTTACAACAACATCATCTAGACCATATATGATATCTTTCGGTTTTTAACCATTGAGTCTTGTCTCGTCAACATATAACCCACAACTCCTTTCATGAAGGCGTCATTTGAAGTCAAAGTCATACGTATGTAATCTCCCTATTGATATGTTACTCTACTTTGTAATCATACTCAAGAAATACCTGTCAGCTTTGAATCAATTGCACGGCGTTGGTCTTCGCTGTGAAGCCTTGTATTGCTACTCTCTTGTGTCACTGTAGTGTTTATTTCCTCTATGCATCTTGTCGTCAGTCCTTGGTTATTTTCTATAAACATACTATTTTGTTAAATTCAAACTCACTTTAATAGGCAACATAAGTTTACCGGTGTTCAAAAGTGGAAATTTCGGGAACGTTGTGTCATTGCTTAAGAAACATGCACAGATTGAATAGGCCAAAAACCCACCACAACAAATCCAAAGAATATTTTGTTTGCTGCTGTTATTATTCATTCAAGTAAATTTTAGTATGCAGTATTACTGAAAAATTATTACACCAGGGGTATCGATATCACAAACTAGTCAAAACATTTACTAAATTGTAACATCGGTACAAGGACATCATTCGTAAATATAAACTAACATGCAGACATCTTATACGATCAGGTATTTCACATCCAATTTTTTATGGTAATATTCTTTACAAAGCACAAAAATATCGGCATTCACCTCAAAAGTTAACCAAACCTTTAAACAGACTTATTCGGAAGGGATATAGTTACGATACTGTTGTCAGGTCATTAAGGATTGTATATTTTGGTATTGTTATTGATTCACTCATAGGGTCTTTGCATCAGAAATAAACACATTTATTCTAAAACCAGTTGTTGGCATGACAAGGGTTATGTTCTTCTCATATGTGTTATGATTGTATGATACTAAAACCCTAACGGGAGTGATTGTACTTGATTTTCATTTTTGGTCCTCATTAATTGAGGTCTGGAGCTGGCATGTCAGTAATTGCTAGTAGTCCTTTGTTCATTTGTCTATCATTGTCATTTTGCTTAGTTTCTTTTGTTACCTATTCCGAAATCGGACTCGGACTTCTTTCAAACTGGATTTTACTGTGCGTAATGCTATGTGTTTCTTTATTCTACATTGGCTAGAAATAAAGGGGGGGTTGAGATCTCACAAACATGTTTAACCCCGCCGCATTTTTGCGCCTGTCCCAAGTCAGGAGCCTCTGGCCTTTGTTAATCTTGTATGTTTTTTTTTTAATTTTAGTTCATTTATATGTTTTGGAGTTTAGTGTGACGTCCATTTTCACTGAACTAGTACACAATTTTATTTAGGGGCCAGCTGAGAACCACCTCCGGGTTCGGGATTTTCTCGCTGCGTTGAAGACTCATTGGTAGCCTTCGGCTGTTACCTGCTCTTTGGTCGGGTTGTTGTCTCTTTGACATATTCCCCATTTCCATTTTTTTAATTTTAGTTCATATCAGAACGGTCATGGTTTTGAATTTTGAATATGGTGATGTTATTCATAATGTTGTTGTGTCACAACATATGTGAAAAATTAATGTGTGTATCCGTAAAAATTTATATGAAAGACTTCAACTTAAATATCAAAACCCTTAATGCAATATCTTGCTTGTACAAAACTTTCCTCATTCAAAGAAAATCATCTAAGGTTTGGAATGCTAGTCCTAAAAAATCGTATATGAAGGCAAAGTTATGATGTTGATACCTTTGAAACGGAAAGTTCACTATTAGAAGAAAAGTTAAACTATTATTAAGTCATAAGATATTCATCAACATATCAACATATCCTTATTCATATCGTCTAAATGTAAGACAAGATATGTTGTAGCCCTAACTGTATATTGGTTATCTTTAATTTCAAGTTTTTTTTTATAGCAGCAGTCAACGTTTTATTATTGAATTATTCATTGTATGGAAATCATCTTTAAAGAGGAAAACTTATCAAAAGTATATGATATCGCCAGCTATTTTATATTTTATAGTTCCAGTATAAAATATGCCTCATAAGAAAAATGAAACAAGTAGGAAAGCCTAAGAACAGTTGGTTACCATGTGAATGCCAGTTTTTTGTTGATCAACATGTCCTCGAATTGTAACATAAGGGCCGTAACTACCGATAATGCCCAAAACAAATGATAAGAGGGAAACAAAGAAAATGGAAAAAGATAGGCATGCAGGCCTTGCGGGGTAGAAAACATCCTGGCATTTTCATATTATTCAACAATTAAGTAATGCATACTACGAATATTAATTAATGTTGACGTGCAGCTTCTGTACTTTTATTTCAACAACGTTATTCATCGAACTCTCTGTCTGATTACTATCGCCAATATTTCACATTTAAATACTCGATTTCCAGAAGAACTGAAGGTAAGTTTATATGGCAATTACCTCGTATCATATCTAGTAAACAAGATAAATCCGGAAACTATTCATGATATGAAAACAGAGTACATGAATGATTTACAATATCCATATGATCTGGTACAAGAAATCGACAGATAGATGGCTAAGTGTACCAGATGGAATTTAGAGATTGTTAAGACGCTTACAGAATCAACTACATATGCTGATCGGGACCTGTACCCAAATATTCATGCCATTTTGAAGCTGTTATTGACATTGCCGGTCGGTTCTTGCTCATGTGAGAGATCTTTTCTGCCCTTCGGCGTTTAAAAATATGGTGTAGATCAACAATGACCGAGGACAGATTATGTGGATTAGCCATGCTTCACGTCCATCGTACGGACAATGTCGGGCAAGTAAACGCAAAAACTGTTCTCAAACTATTGAATCTTAGTTGCACAAGAAAAGTCGAACTAGCGTTCACAGACAATGACTAGCTTTCATTCTTTGGTCTTTATTAAAATGTTATTAAAATGTGTGTTATTTTTATTGCACGTTAACCACACACACTTGTCCCGCTTTTTCTACTTTTAAATATGTACCCTACTGTAAATAAAATTCTAGGTAAGTATCTATCAGCCGGCTCTGGTTGCCTAGGGCATTTCTTCATACAGTACATATGAAACAAAAACGATAAAAATGATACCTAAATGGATGTTACAAGATATATTTCGAACCCTAATATTACAATTTTTTGGCAGGGGGTTTTGCCACCCTGGAAATTTAAGCATGACCATCAAAATGTATTAGATAAACTACCTAAGATCAATCTTCCCTAACGTAGTTGAAACATTAGTTTTTAGTACAATAACAAATCCAATGAACTGCATACCGGGGATGATATCTTCGTGTATTGACAAACTAACGAAGGTGTAAAAACGTGTTCTAACAATGTTTATGTTTATGTTTCTCATAAGAGATATCTAATTTTCCGACGTGAATAAACTGAAATTGTTTGCTAATTACCAAAACAATTCATATAGGACTCAGATCGACGTCAGGTCTCTAATCGGTGTCCATTTCTCAAATCAACTTTCAAATCTGATGCCATAATAAAATAAGATTTCAAATCGACGGACAACTCAAAACTCCTCGAATCGACGCCTTTAAAGTTTGTTCACTTATCGACGTCCTTTTCACAGACTTGTCACATTGACTTCACAAGTATATATTATTAAACTTTGAATATTTGAAATACAAAGGCTTTTCTACCTCAGGAGTAGATTACCTTATTTTTGGTCCTCAATGCTTTTTAACTTCGTACTTATTTGGCCTTTTCAACTTCTTTTGATACGAGCGTCACTGATGAGTCTTTAGTAAACGAAACGCGCGTCTGGCGCAATAATAAGATTTTAATCCTGTTATCTGTGGTGAGTTTATTTAATAAAAACAACTGTCGCATTCCTGATTTAATACAAGTACTTTCCGAATGCAAATGATGTACACCATTGTTCCAGGGAAAAAAAGGGTAGTGCGCTCGCTAACATGTTTAACCCGCCACATTCTGTATGTGACTGTCCCAAGTCAGGAGCCTGTAATTCAGTGGTCGCCGTTTGTTGATGTGTTACATATTTTTTTTCGTTCAGTATTTGGTACAAAAATTATGCTGTTAGTGTTCTCGTTTGAATGTTTTTACATTTGTAATTTCGGTGCCTTTTTTAGCTGACTATGTGGAATGGGCCTTGCTCATTGTTGAAGGCCATACAGTGACCTATAGTTGTTAAGTTCCGTGTCATTTTGGTCTCTTGTGAAGAGTTGTCTCATGGACAATCATAATACATTTTTTTTCATATTACAGCCGATTTCAATGAGTGTGTAGCTAAAGGTAATATCTTTGGTTAGCTTGCTTGCTAGCTGAACCGTGAAGTCATTGTTAGGTAAGGTATACTACCCTCCTTTCTAAGTAGCCTAGTCCTGCAGACAGATAGATTGGTTATCTGTCGGACTAGTCTAATCTTAAAGGAGGGTAGTTTACCTAACCTAACAATGACTTCACGGTTCAGCTAGCAAGCAAGCTAACCAAAGATATTACCTTTGCCTACACACTCATTGAAATCGGCTGTAACAAATAGAAGATCTTAAATCTTGCCGCTCAAAATAATAATATGTTTCAACAATTGACCGTATATCTTTATTTTGTCCATTGATTGAGACTGTATATTGTTCCTAGATGTCTTTCGGTTATCATTGTCTGTTGCGTTTTGTCTCATGGTTATATATCAACAAGTCATTAATTAATATACATAAAAGAGGAATAAGACAACGTAGACCAGTGAAAAACGTTTTTCACCCAAAAAAATTAACATACATGAACATGTGATAAGATATCGGTGTTTTCTTATTGGCATTTGCTGATGTTTGTCCTTTTATTTTTATTTACTGGATTGTTTGGGATGGGATGCTGCCTTCTTTGTAATCCCTTCTCATACTCATATGCGTCAAATAAATCGTTGGGATTTGTTATGTATTAAGATATATGAATTTAATTTTTTTTATACAGCTTTACACAAAGACAAAACGATACAGTTAAATAAAATAAACAAAGACTAAATTCAGAATAAATGATTAAATGATATTGGACATCGATGAGTTGAGACTACGTCGTTTTTGATAATACATGACATGACATTTTACGTCGGTTTGAGAACATGATGTCATATTGGGCGTCGATTTGAGGGACAGATGTCGATTTGAGGGACAGATGTCGATTAGAGACTAGACGTCGATCTGGGTTTAACATAGATTGTTTGTGGCATGTCATTGCATTGATAACGATGGCAAACTTGAAATAAATTGAAAAGGGACTTTAGAAATTAAACGTCGCGTTTCTGTTTTAATCTTCATCGGGAACTGTCAAAGCCGAATATTTGGAAAGCCAAG